TCGAAGTCCCCGTCCTAGTTGATATAGCCAAGCCATTTCCTCGCTTAAATTGCTTTATAAAACCTTGTCGCCTTTTGATGCAAACGTTTGAGTTTATCTTTAGGCAGGGCTGATAACAAGCTGGCGCGTTCAGTGTGTATCAAAATGTTTATGGGGGCGGTTTCTGACTGGATTTTGCTGCAAATTATGCACAACACCAGCCGAGGTTCCAGACCGATGTGTCAGATGTGACTTGGTGTTAAATCAGTGGTATCACTGCTATCGCTTCACATGTCCTGTACTGAATTGTCCTATATCACAACATGTAAAGAACCCGGAGCGGTAATAAGTTTTTTTTTTGTTTTCTACCAAATTAGCCTAAAAATATTTTGCTCAGTAAATAGGAGCATTTTTGAATATTTTAATCATGATTACGACTGCCAGTAAGAAAGCTGTTCACCAGGCGATGCAGCTTTAGCCGAAGCAACCGGAAAAGTTACAAATTGCTTGGTACAAGCATATTTGCTTCCTGGCCGAGATAGAAGTAGCTGTAAACTTCCCCTAAGTTCACACCGTCTATCTATAATCTTGCTGGGGGCATACCGACAATATGCATCACCTCCGTCTTCTCTAGGTACTCGAGTGAGAAGATTTAATAGGGTACACCAGTAACACTGCCAGCTATTGTTTATTGTTAGTGCCAGTGGTCACTTGCATAGCTTCCGAATGCTCTCACTTTTTACAGGGAGTGAAATTTGGAAGAATTACTTTTGGTATAATAAATGAACTCAACTTCTACAGATTTTCAGATGCTGTCCGGAATGTAAAACTCACAAGGTCATTGCAGGGAGCATGAATTTGACCGCTCTGCGTCGATTGCAATGCAAATTTCGCGGAATTCATTATCAGGTACATGACACGTTTCGTGTAGATCCATGTACACGCTGTTCCTGTCAGCATGGCGGAATTATCTGCCGGAGGTTTTCTTGGAAATTGCATATAATAATAACACGTTCTTTAAATTTCACATTTTACCATATATACTTTGCCACTTGGTTTTATCAATACATCAATTTCTCCTTTCTTCTCTGTTTTGAGCTTCCCTCAACTACACTGCAACACGGACTACTTCCGAGTGCCTGCGTTTCTTGCAAAGAGTGAATACAAAGGGAATTTTGATTTTTGACTTTGACTCAAGCCTGCCCATTTGGTCATTTTTTTATGCAGACAGATTAAATAACCATAACTAGAAATTATTGTATGAATTATTAAAAGTACGAGCAGTCGGACGACCTTTGAAAAGATTTCATTAATATATGAAACAAAGATGTTCAATGATAAGAAGTAATTAGCCTTGTCTGCAATAAGCATGTAGATGCGTTTAAATAACTCAACAAATTCATGTCGAGAGTCCAGAGCCCATTATTTTATTAGTTTATGCAACGTGTTTTGAATGGCATTTATGATAAAATAAATGACCAATCGGGTGACCTCCAACAGGATGGCGCACATAATTCGAGTCCCTGTTCGATCGGTACTAACTGGAGATATACAACTCAGGATCGAAGGACCTTGTTGCGCCAAGTGCCTTCAGTACACCGATCTCAGGGCTACCTTGGTATTCTTGGATGAAGATTCAGAAAATTAACTTGAGTAAGGAAGTCATGTTCACTTTTTCATCAACAAA